CAAGAAGTGATACTAATCTAGATTATAATTATTTAGAAAAAATGAACCAGATCTGTCAGCATTGCTGTGCTAAAAAATCTCTTGATAAAACACATTTTTTATGTTGCCATAATGGGAAGGTAGTTTGTCTCCATTTTCACTATTTTTGCATTATTTACAGGAAGTTATATAAATCATAATTTCAATTTTTTATTAAATATATCAGAATTTATAATGCCTTTCTTTATTTTACTTTATTTAGTGATAATTTGGTTTACCTATCTATCATAAGCCGTTATGTTTTAAAATATGTGGCTGTTCGCTCACCCGTAAGTTACTTTATGTTTTTTATGTTTTTTTATGTATGTTTGTGTTCTGTCTGAACCTCCGGCGCGGTGTTCGCTCACCCGTAAGTTACTTTATGTTTTTTATGTATGTTTGTGTTCTATCTGAACCTCCGGCGTGGTGTTGACTCACCCGTAAGTTGATTTATGTTTGTTTGTGTTCTGTTTATTCTCTGAAGCAGCGTGAACTCAGTAACTAGCCACTTACTCCAACTACAAAACCTACACTCACCTTGTATTTTGTTAGATGCAGTGTTTTTCCTAGTGCACTTCCAAAATGTCATGTTTTTCTCCAAGTACTGTTGCGAGAAGTAACTCCTTTTAACTACTCTTGGTCAGGTCAGGATAATCAAAATCAATCTTGCTACTGGTATCACGTAACCCAGTACCACCTGCCACAAGCCCTGCTGCCTTGCAGAGTGTGCTCTTCTTAGGCAAAGGCTAGGAGAAATAAACTACGACTAAAAATTCCCCTGCCTTGGGGCTCTTGGTTGAGTAAAGACTAGAGATGGTGTCTCGATAAAAACACTCATCTTGGGCAGATGTTAACTGCATCCAGCTACTGTCTTGTAGAAGGCCTCCTAGGCAAAAACTTTAGGGGTAAGCAGAAAAATTCTGCTAACCAGCCTTGAACCCCTTCTTCATCTATTAGGCTGGCGTAGATGTAACCTGTGCTGCATTGTTTCCTGCCTAGGATGATCAATGCTGGATCTCCTTGACTCTACTCATAGAATTTTGCTTATGCCTCCTTGATAATGGCTATGCAACTCTTCCTGTTATCTCCATATGAGGGTACAGCTCTAAAATTCAGTTTAATGGTTCTGAGGCCGGCTGGTAGTAAGGTTTCCCAAACTCTGTGGTAGCTCTCAGAGAGGCTGATTCCATCAACAGCTGCAAAATATCAGAGTATTAACAGCGCCATGTTGCGCATGGATGGTGTCCCTGTTAATGCTTTTGGTGTGCATTGTCAAGGCCACATAAAGAGCCCTATGTCACGGCTTAGGGTTAATTAACAGGACTGAGACAACTGCATAGCTCATTGATTAGGAGGCTGTGCTCTATCTATGAATGAGTCAAGTTCTCATTAAACCCAAATTATGACCAAAGTAACCAAAAATTTAAAACCTAAAAAACCATCCCCACCACCTAAATGTTTTAATATATCTTTTACAAATATTCACTGTCTGCGAAGCAACTTTCCGTCAGTTGAGTCTTACCTCCTGCAAAATTCACCAGACTTGCTTGCACTCAGTGAAACAAACTTAAATTCTTCAGATGTCAGTGTTGATGGCTACTATCCTTTGATTCGTAAAGACTCAAATAGTCACATGCTAGGTTTAGGGGTATACACACGCATTAATTCCCTATTTGTCGTGAAATCAGGTTCGAATCCTTTGACCATTCTTTTATGTGCTTTCGCCTAGCACCTCTTCACTCTATCACCTTTCTCTTTATTCTTTATCGTTCTCCTTCTTCCCATGATTGCACTCTCTTAGATGTTATCTCTGATCAAATTGACCATGCCCTCTCTCTTTACCCCTCTGCCAATATTGTTGTTGTTGGTGATTTTAATGCCCATCACACTGAATGGCTTGGCTCTAACACCACTGATCCTGCTGGCACTAAAGCCTTTAACTTCTGCGTTTCTCAATCTCTTACTCAGATAGTTAACTTTGTGACTCGTTTTCCTGACAACCCTAATCATTTACCTTCACTCCTTGACTTATGTCTTGTCTCTGACCCTAGGTTATGTTCAGTTTCTCCCTTTTCTCCCTTAGGTGGTTCTGACCATGCAATGATCTCTATAAATCTTTCTTCTCGTACTTCTTTTTTGGGCTCACCTTATCATCGCACCACCTACTACTACCCTAAAGCTGGCTGGGATTCCTTTCGTGATTTTCTTCGTGATGGTCCTTGGGCTGATGTTTTTTCTCTCTCAGATGACAAATGCGCTTCCTACGTAACCTCCTGGATTTAGGCTGGAATGGAAGCTTTTATTCCTTCGCGTCGGTTTTAAGTCAAGCCTCATTCGACTCCATGGTCTTCTCCTTCTTGTGCGGCTGCTATATCCAATCGTAATCATTTTTTTCATCTTTTTCAAAAGAACAACTCTCTTGAGAACAAACGGCTGTTTATTATTGCAAGAAATCAATGTAAAAAGGTGCTTTCTGATGCTAAACTCCATTATTCTCAGTTCACTAAATCCTGCATCTTATCGCAGAAGTTAGGCTCTAAAGACTTTTGGAAAATCTTCAACAGCATTATTAACAAGGGTAGATCTAACATTCCATCACTCATTCATGGGACTGATCTTATTACCTCTCCCAAGGATAAGGCAGAACTATTCGCAAAGAACTTTTCTTCTAATTCCACTCTTAAATCTTATGGACATTCTCTTCCTTCCATTCCAGTCAAACAGGTTGACCCATTGTTAGACATTCAAATCACTCCGGCTTCTGTTGCTAAAGTCATATCTCAATTAAACTCGTCTACAGCTTGTGGTCCAGACAACATTCCTGTCACAGTCTTGCAGAATTGTTCTCCAGAACTTTCTTCAATTCTCTCTAAACTATTTAACAAGTGTTTGACTGAGTCTTGTTTTCCTGCTTGTTGGAAAATGGCATCTGTGGTTCCAATATTCAAAAACTCTGGAGAAAATTCTGACCCCTCCAATTATCATCCGATAAGTCTTCTTTCTGTTATTAGCAAGGTCTTTGAGTCTTTGATCAACAAATTCCTCACATCTCATCTTGAGTCAAATAAACTACTGTCAGACAATCAATACAGTTTTTGATCCTCTTGCTCTACGGCCAACTTGCTAACTGCTGTAACTGAAAGATTTTATTGTGCATTAGATGGAGGCGGTGAGGCTAAGGCTATTGCTCTCGACATATCTAAAGCTTTCGACAAAATTTGGCATGCTGGTCTTCTCCATAAGCTTGCTTCATATGGTGTTTCTGGGAAAGTTTTTAAGATTATCAAATCATTTCTTTCTAACCGGTTTATTAAAATCATCCTTGAAGGCCAACACTCTTCTTTATTTCCAGTAACTTCTGGGGTTCCCCAAGGTTCCATCCTGGGCCCTGTTTTGTTTCTTATCTACATCAACGATCTTCCTGACAACCTTTCATCTAAAGTAGCTCTTTTTTCTGATGACTCAACTTTATACTCCTGTCTTGACAAAAAGTTTTCTCTTTTTGATCGCCTAGAACAAGCAGCTGATCTTGAATCTGATTTCACTTCAGTAATAGATTGGGGTTCACACTTCAATCCTTTGGAACTCTCTCCCATCTTCATGTTTTCCTGACTCATACAACCTTCAACTTTTCAAGTCTTCTGTCAACTGTTTCCTTGCTCTATAACTCTGTTTTTTTTTTCCTAGTAACTCCCAACTTAATAGTGGTTGCTTGCAGCCTTGTTGGGAGTGAATGCAATTAAAAAAAAAAAAAATTATAATTTTTTTTTTTTTTTTGCATTACTTTCAGATATTCTACAATACCATGACTAATAAGTTTAAGAATATTAACTAATAAGTTTTTACTAATATAATATATAATTTTATAACTTTATAATTTTTTTATTATCAATTTTTATGACTATAATTAATTAGAATATTTTCAGATTTGTTATATATTTTAATTATAATATAAGTCGCTATATTTTTTTATGAATAAAATTTTATTAAATTTATTATATAACTGATTATAATTATTCTAAAATTAAATGTTTTTTTTTTTTTTTAGTTTTAATATATTTTTTTTTTGTCATTGTCATTAAAAAAAGTTATGATTATAATAATTCATTGTAACTTTTTAAAGATGAGCTTTATTGGAACACTCTGTTATTACAAAGCTCTTATGTATTTTTTGGTACCATAATAGATAAGGACCATTTTTGAGAAATGTTTTACATGTCACTAATTTATGAACACAATAAATATGTAAAATAATGCTCCTCTTTATTAATAAACTTACTTATTCTAAAACACAATAATAAATATGTAAAATAATGATTTTGTAGTTTAAGATGATCTTTTTTTTTTAGGTATTGGTAAGTTGTACTTAGCTTTTCTTCTCTGGTGCTTGCTGTTATTAAAAAGGGACAATCGCAGCTCTATATAGATGAATTTGTATTTTATATTTTTCAGGTAATATATCAAGTTATATTGTTATTAGTTATTTATTACTAACCCGTATTACTGGTTGCATACATATATGCCGCTCAGTAGTGTCTTGTATTGTTAGTAACCAGCGTAAAAGATTTGTTTCTGGACTAAACCAAGCCAGCCCAGCCATACTCCAGAAAACCATGATGGATTAAACACCTATGCATGGATTTATAAGTGACTTATGATTAAAAGCTAGCCCAGGCATCTTCCACAGACAAACATCCTTTTTCGCGGTGACAGTAAGATTTGTGATAAACGTTTATTTAAAATATATATATACAAAAAAAATACAAAAACATTATTTTACATATTTATTATTGTGTTTTAGAATAATTAAGTTTATTAATAAAGAGGAACATTATTTTACAAATTTATATATATTTACATATTTATTATACATATATATATATATAAATATATATATATATATATATATATATATATATATATATATATACATATTTGTGTGTGTATAGTGTATATTTTAAATAAAATAATTATTAACATACATGTGTACTATTACACGAAGATCATCAATAAAGCTTGAAGGATGCTCAACAACAATTGATTCTGAAACATCGTCTATTTTTTTTGGATCATCAAAACATTCTGCAGCTCCACGTTTTGGTTCATGCATCGCAAATACAGTAAAAAGAACAGCTATTATACCAAGTACTGGAGTAACCTAAAATGTTTGATATAAAGTTAGATTTAACTCACACATACGCATACAAATCATATAAATGTACCAAAATGGGTACAAAATATATTATTGAATTTGCTCACCCTGAGTGCCCATTGCCATTGTTTCATGAGTTGTGAAAACTTTGATCCCACTATATAACCTAAACCACTTTAAATCACAAAAATTAAAATTAAATAAAAGTCACAAATGGTGTTTTAAAAAAGCAGAAAGTCAGTAACATAATATAAAATGCTGTAGCGGTGTTGTGGTAGCAAGCCTTCCCAGGAAAGGTGTTTGGTTTTTCATCTTGTATGACCACGCGAGAGTATTTTATTTTAGACAACTTGATCACAGCCATTTGCAAGTTTTATAATAATAATCACGGCGGAAAAAGTTTTAAAAACAAAAAAAGCAAAAGTAAAAAAATAGGAAATAAAAAGAAATTTAAATAGAAAAAAATAAAAATAAATTAATAATTTATGTACTGTTTTTATTTTTGTTTCTTTAGAGTGGTTGTTACAGCAACAAAATTAAATAAGGCGAAGTAAAAAAAAAAAGTTTCAAGTCTACAATAAAAAGAATGATTTTCCCTTATTTAACTTATTTTAAAGAGGAAAGCGAAAACATAAATTGCAATGTATTTATACATAAATTGAAATGTAATGATATTTTACAAATGTATTTGTAAAATATATTTATATAACAACAAGAGTTGAATTAAGGAATCACATAATACAAAATCTGGAAAAATATCTGGTCTTCAAAATTTTAGTTTATACAAAAACATGTTCTTTGTTTTCAAGGGGCGAATCAACTTTAATTTGTTAGCAAAAAAGTTATAAAAAATAAAACATTAAACTTATAAAACATTAAACGAATACAAAAGTAATAACACACTATAATAGTGTTATTACTTTTTGACGCACTTTTATAACTCATTCTTTGTTCAAATAAGATAAGTTCTTCCAAATTTTAATTGAAGTAGAAAAGCATTTAGAAAAATATAGTGGATATCCAAATAATATTTAAAACTTAAGTAACTTTTAAAAACGTAAACGTAACATATCAAAACATAATCTATAAAAAGTTTAGCATTATTAAAAATGTTACTAATGATACATTATAACGCGCATTAATTTTCAAATCAACCAATACAAATTTTTATTGATTGATTTTAAAATTAAACGCACCTTTATACGGACTATTAGTGACATTTTTCATAATACTTGACTTTTTATTAAGTGCGTTTTTATAAAGTTGTTAAAGTGATTTGTAAAAATTCCTAAAGCTTTTAATATTTGAACATCCGCTTTATTTTTTCTAGATGCTTTTCTACTTAAATAATTGTTTGGAATTAATAATGTTGTTTGAACAAAGAATGAACTTTAAAAGTTATAAGTGCTTTATAAAAGTAATAACACTATTATAATTTTATTACTTTTATAATGCAGTTAGTGACTAGAGTATTATTACTTTTGTAGTCGTAAGTTTGTTTTATTTTTATATTTTTCTTGCTAACAAAATAATAAAAATTTGCTCCTTGAAAACAAAGTACACAGCTTTGCATAAACTAAAATTTTGAAGATCAGATATTTTTCCATGGTTTGCAAATCGCGATCACTTGATTCACCCTTTGATATATACTTGTTACATTAAAATTATACAAATATATTTTACAAACAAATGACAATTTATAGTTTGGCTTTCCCCTTTAAAAAAAAAACAAAATATAGGAAAATTATTCTTTTTAATGTTCAAAACATTTTCTTTTTTTTTTTTGCTTTGACTTTTGTTGCCGAAAATAATAACCACTATGAAGAAACAAAAATAAAAACAGTACACAAATTATTTAAATTATTGTTATAATTTGCATATAAAAAAACTTGCAAACGGCCGTGACCAAGTTATCTAAAGTAAAATACTCATGCGTGGTCATACAAGACGAAAAACCCAGCGCCTTTCCTGGGAAGGCTTGGGTAGAGTGCTTGCTTTGTAAGCAAGAAGTTTCAAGGTTAAGTTAACACAAACATTAACAAACAAGGTTGCTGCACGGAGAAACAAGTTGAGTGCAGTACTACCAAGGACACGGTGGAGATTGAACTTAGAACTTTTTGCTTATGAAGAGAGAACTCTACTACTACATCGCATTCTTCTCTTTCAGGTGAATCAGATCATGCTTCTCACCTATAACCATCTTATACTTCTTCTACATCAGACTCACCCTATAATACTTTAAAGCTAGTAGTTAAGTAGGATTCATTTCAAGATTTTTTTTGTGACAATCCTTAGGCTGATATCTTATGTCTTCCTGCTAAAAAATGGAACCTACCTTACTCTTCTGGATTCAGCCAGGAACAGAAGATTTTGTTCATTTTTATTGAATTCATGCCAATCCTTACTTTACCCTATGATTTTTGCAGCTGTTATTTGTCATTGTAATAATTTCCATTCAATGCAAAAAGGTTATGAAAAAATACCACAATAATATAAAAAATAGAAGGAAAAAAAGGTGTAAATGCCTATTATTCTTAGATTTCTAAGAATGTATCTCAGAAGGTAAAGGTTTAAAAAATCTTTACCAATTTGTTAACAAGGCAAGTCTAAAATTACCTTTTACATGGATCTGATCACCTCTCCCATGGATTAAGTGAAAGAACTTTTACTCTAATTCAACTCTTAAATCCATGGATCGTTATCATGGATCTTGATAATGTCAACTTAGCTGACCCAAAAACACCTTTTTTTATATGGAAAGATAGGCTACACATCAAGGTGCCCTGTGATGCAAATTTTAAAATATTATCAGCGGAAAAAAATTCAATTAAGTAAAAAATGTTCAAACTAAGTGAAACTTTGACTTCATAGCGCGCCAATAAAAAAACCTGTAGAATAAGAACTACTCTATATAACTTGATAAAAACTAGTGCAAATGTAGCCTATAACCACATGGAATTCTGGATAAAATTTTAGTTGAGGAGGCTACAGTTGAGGAGGCTACTCATTTTTTTTTTTTTTTGTTGTAAATCGGGGTACAACCCTCTCTCAACTCTTTAACTCCAAAACACAAACCTTGACAAGCAAGGCCGCTGCGCGAAGAAATTAAGTTGAGCGCGGTACTTCCAGAGACGTGGTGGGAGTAGAACTCTGAACCTCTTGCTTACAAAGCGAGCGCTCTTGCCACTACACCACTACTGCATTTGGAGGACTGGTTTTAAGAAAAGTTAATTTTTACAGATTAGGGTTGTTTTGAAACAAAATTTGTAAAAACTTGATAAAAATTATTTGCCGAGGCACAAAAAAAAAAAAGATTGTTGATGAAGAACAATATTATAAAGGGGAGAATAGTTATTTGAAGAGCAGTAAAATTTGTTTTTTGGATTGTGTCAACAAATAAGATCTAATCTAAATTATCATTAAGTGTGATATAAATATCCGATATAAATTTAGGCTAAAATTTGCAAAAGATATGATTTAGTGAAGCTAGATTTAGTAAATTGACACAATGCTAAATCGAGCAAAGATCCATGATGAAAACTGAAAGTTTGTGTGTTAGCTCTGTCTGAAAAAATGTTCATGAAAATTTAGTACTTTCCAAGGAGATCAAATATGTCAACTGTATTTATAATTAATATCAGTGATTCTCCAGTACCACAAGGACTCTACGAATTATGCAGAACTACTTTGCACATAAAACAAGATAGATATTATATAGATAGGATTAGAAATTACACTCCCCCTTTGTTTTATTTTAAGTCAATACCAGTGAGACCTGAGCAAGAGGTAAATTGTGTTGTTACCAAATCTGTCAAGCTGGTCAATAAAGAGCTGCAAGAAAAAAAAATTCTCTTAAAGAGCAAATCGCTATTTAGAAAGAACCATGTGTGCTTTGCAGTACATGCCTCAGCCCATTAGGCAAAGGTTCGCCCCACCAATTATCTCAAACAAATTTCAGTGAAAGCTTTCAATCTTCAGCAGCAAAAGATGCCAAAGGAGCCAAACAAATATCTAGAGTTACTTCCGATAAAAAATTATCACCAGAAGGAACTATTTAACTTGCTAAAGCATCTGGCTGGCCTCCACTTACAATTACCCCAAGTAAGCATTTATACTTAAATTTTTTTTACATATTTTACATAGAAAAAAAGACTTGACTATTAAGAAATGAAACTAGATAGAACTCAGGAAATCAGGGTTAGGGTTAGGGTTAGGGTCAGGGTTAAACTAGGAATTGATTGTGGCAAAGGTTTTCTCAAGTTTTGTTTATGAATTGTTGATACTGCAATAAAATATTAAACTCAATGTTAAAACAACTTTTTTCTTCACTGGCAAAAACACTGGAGTCAAGACACAAATTCTTGTCAGAAAATTTGTCAGAAACCCACTCCATTGAATAATACTCCATATTGAACAAATCTGGTCACTAATTGATCCAAATGGAGTTAACCTAAATTCGATTTGTGATATGAAAGTTGCGAATATAATTTGTAATCTTCAAACTCATTCAAGTATGCACCCTTGCACACAGTGTGACGTCAAATCTCAGTGTCTTACCAAATCTGGAGGGTTGTTGCAAATACAAAGCTGTTCAAAGTTGTCAAGCCTGCTATTTAATCAATAGCAGGCTTGATAATATTCTGATTTTGGAAATTCTCCCACTGATGGAATTGCACCTCCTCATAGGAGTGGTCAATAATCATTTTAAGATCCTTAAACTGCTTGGATAGAAGCTGTTAAGTGGCCAGCTGTCCTCTGCATTTAACTGAGCCCATTTCATGTGGGCCATATATATATATATATATATATATATATATATATATATATATATATATATATATATATATATATATATATATATATATATATATATATATATATATATATATATATATATATATATATATATATGTATATATATATATATATATATATATATATATATATATTTATATATATATATATATATATATATATATATATATATATTTATATATATATATATATATATATATATATATATATATATATATATTTATATATATATATATATATATATATATATATATATATATATATATATATATATATATATATATATATATATATATATATATATATATATATATATATATATATATATATATATTATAGGGAAAATAATGAATGCAAGA